GCGTTGAATGTGACGTACTGAACTGTTTTGCGTGTTTTTAGGCTACCCTATTGAATATTTTAGTGAAATTGCGGTGTTTACATTGGATTCCTGGAACAAGAGTGTCAGATGTGTGAACAAACTTCGAGAGATGGATCATTTCTGTGGTTATAGATTTAGCCTTTGTGCTTAGTGATGACATTTGGGGTATCGTTATGCAGCCGTACAAGACTGACTGCTGTACTAAAAATATACATTATCCTAAGAGCAAACTTTTTTTTATGTCATGTGTGCTCTCTTTACTCAAACAAATAACAAACATGTCCTTGTTTATCTGTGTAACTCAACAGTACACATTTGTTCTTTGTTGGCATGATATGCCTTTTTCCAGTATATTTTGTCATCATTGTATGTACAAGTACAAGTAATATTTGTCATCACTGCTAATATCAATAAGTTTTCAACATATATTTCATACATGCAAGATTCATTTAGAAGCAAAATATGCCTTTATTGATCAGTGTATCTCATAGCGCTAATTTGTTCTTTGTAGGCATGATTTTACCTTTTCCCAGTATGTTTTGCCATCACTGTTATGTACGAGTACTGTTTGTCATAATTAGCAACATAATTGTGATTGTCCACTGTCTTTGATATGACCTCATATCTGTTTCAAAGCAACAAAAAAACTCTCCTGGGTTTTTATTTTATTCTTAAAGTGTGCATTTCTCTCTGGAGGCTTGACTTTGTCTTTTCCTGTACGTTGTGTCATCATTGTTATGTACAAGTCATGTTTGTCATCACTGTTATGTAAGTCAGCCCCATTGATTTTGTGCTTTTGCCTCATATTAGTTTAAAAATTGTTTTACACATGTGTTTTTCTGGTGCTGAGGCTTTGATAACTGTCTTTGTACAGCCTTTCACTATTGTGATGTGTGTTGTCAATGATAATGTCCAATGTGTATCCTTTCTAGTACATAACAATGATGACATGTTCTGTGCACTGCGTCATTGTTACAATGCTTGTCATTTAATATTACCATTATGAATGGAGTTCAGAGTGTATAAAGTCTTTGTTTACTAAACAAATGGAATTTAAAGTCTATAATTATAATTTGCCTTGCTGCTTATCTGTTTTTGTTATCACTGTTACATACAAGAAATACTGTGGTTGCCAAAACCCCACATCTCCTTGATCCGATACTCTAGGAATATGAGCACTACATGTCGATCTGTGACTGACAGAAAAGGGAGTCTAATTGGTAAGAAACATTTTTTTGCACCACTGAGTCTCACATTTTGGCAATTGTCATATACATATATATCTAAACTTAAGTACAAACAAATTCAGTGCTTTCTCAAAGTATCCAAGCCTAATAATGAAGATAGATAAACTAACAAATGTCAGATTTCTCTCATAGTACATTTGACGTAGGTCCTGGAAATGATTCTATTATGCCAGCTATATGAATGTATCAGTATTCATGAAAGAATGGTAATAAATAAGGCAGATATAGTTTATTTACACATAAAAGATAAACTAACTAAATGGGGAATTGTGGATGTTGGCAGATTCTATTAAAATTACAGGATTCACTTACACCTTTGAAATTTACCTTGGAATGGGGAATGTCAAAATTTGGGCTAGGGTATTCAGAAGTTATGAACCTTTGTAAACCTTTGTTTGGATGGGATATAACTGTTTTTTAGAAGTAACTTAAACAAAGCACTGACACTCTTTAGAGATGTATTTGCCATATAAACTTTTTTGCCTACCAGACAAATTTCCAAATATCCAGAAAACAACGAAAACTTCAAACAGTGAATCAACAGAGAAATGAGACAAATCAAAATAAAAATTACAGGGTATAACCATGATGTATACCTTTATAAATGAAAACATGAACGAAGTTCAATATGGGACTATAGAAAACTAAAAGCCCATCATGAGATAATAAAAGATTACAATCAATTCATGGAAGGTGAAGACAGATCAGATATTTAACCCTCATCCTGCGGGAGCCGGGTTTATGTCGCCCGATAAGCCTATTTCGGCACCTCGCCTACGTTCTGGTCGCGAATCAGTGTAGCCCCTGGCTCAGTGCACGCGCAGCCTCTTACGTGTCATTCGGGTCCCGAGTCGGATCCCCATTCACGCAGGTCAAGTGTGCGTGCGTCAGTCTGCTTGAGTTTGTGTGCGTTTGTGGCCTTCTTGAACCGCCTGTATTGGTTCGTAATCGAAGCATACGTCTCATTCAAAACATGCCAAGTTGGTAGCTCTAGATGTTCGTCCAATGAAATTATAGAAGAAATTGACCCACTTTGACATGAGGAGCTCGAAAGGATAGTCAGGAAACAAGACTTTCATTTTTCTAAACAAAATATTTCAAATGAGCTTGATTTTGTATGAAATGATACTACCCGATAAAAAATAAGCTTGTTTGATAGTTTTGAATACCATTGTGCAGGTACAAAGAACAATTTGAGTGTAAAACATTCGGAAATTGCCCTAAATTATCCCCTTTCCAACCTCAGGTCATTCATAACAACAAGAGCGTCCAGAAAGGTTAATCGAATGGGCGTAACTACTCGTAATGTCTCATCAGCTTGTGAGAGGGGGTTATTCATGTGTTTGCAACACTTTATAAATAGAAAGCTATGAAAGATAGAGCGTTATTTTCATCATCGGTTAACACACTCCCGCGGTATTCATGGCGAAAACACACATTTCCCGGCGCGAGCGCTGTACACAAACAGTACACACTGAGTGCCCGGCACGTCAGACGTAATCGGTTGCTGATAAGATACGCATCTGGGCACAGACGCAGGATAAGAGTTAAAACATGTAAAGATTTAAGAAGGTGGACAAGTAAAAGAGAATTTCAAAAACTATTTATTTTTACCACATATGATGGATATTGGAAAGGGTAACTCTTATAATATTTCAAGCTTTCTATAACAAGTGCGAAATCAGAGAACAAAATGTTCTGCTAAAGAGTATAATTCTTTGAACAAGATTTGGAAGAGCATGGGTATCTTGCTTCGAATATAATGTCTGAGAATGTTCAACTCCAATGTCAATTCAGTCTTGTTACACAGATGTGAGACATAGAACACATCTCAAAACTTGCATAAAGAGGCTCAAGATTTTCCTGATCAATCAACCATCTGAGAAAGTTGTTAAGGATCAGATGGACAGTCAGGGTCACCAACGAGAAAGTGCTCTATGGAGGACACAGCCTTGTCAGAGGTTGAGTGGGAAGATGGTAGTGGTTACGGATAGGAACATACTCTTATGAAATCAGGCAGCAGCATAACAAATAAAGTTTCGGATTGGAATCAACAGGGTAAGAGATCAAGGCGAAGATGGAACTTGTAGAAAAGTCACTGAGAATGAGAATGATTTACAGAAAAAGTGGGAAGACGTGGCTATCCAGGATAGGGAATGGTGGAAATAGTTTGTTGCTGGCCTTTACCCTGACATAGGGTCAGAAAGGCAATGATGATGATGAAATGAAAGACCTATTGTGCTGGAATATAGCAAGACAGACAGACACAAATAACAGAGAAAATTAAAGACGTAAGAGGTGCAGTGGCGCCCTTCAACCATCCACAGTTTACTTTAAAATTGCTTACAAAATTAACTTAGAAAATTAAAGAGCCACATTACGACCTGAAAGAAAAGAAATGATGATATAAGAAGCATGCAGTAGTTCCAGGCCTATTAATTAATTAATTTGGTTTCATTGTTTAAAAAATCACTAATAAAAAGTACACATTCATTTCTCTTTTCAAATTTATCGATTCACTTCTGTTCTTTGATAAAGATGATACTGATATTAGCCACTTTCTGAATTTCTACAGACTTGTAAATTCAAACTGAGATAGAAGCATCAGAAAACTTTCAAACAGGAAGTAAACAAGCAATAAAATGAGAGACCAGGGATTTTTAATGCTAGACATTACCCTAGATGATAATTGATGTCCCTAAAACTCATTCTATCAGTAGCAGCTTCTGCTGTTTTACAACTATTACTATGCACAGCAAACAACAAGGAATGGATGAAGGAAAATTATAATCAATCAGAAAAGCTATAGATCTAGTAACATAAAATATGTGTTGTTTCTTACTCAGCTTGTTCTATTTCTATTCAAAAAGAATCCTGGACTGTGCCTTTGATTAATCTATTCTGTCACTACTAATGTTTTAATATACATTCCATAACAAAACTGCTGGTTTACTGAAAAAACAACAACCGACAAGCAAACTGCCTGGAAGTAAAAAAGTGAATATTATCCAAATCTCAGTTGTCTGTGTGAAAGCTACTACACTACACTGTCCTAGATCTAATCTAGAATTATCTAGTGCTCTTACCAACCATCTTTACTATCAGTTTTTAAGATACTAGATCTAGGCTTATACCAAACTTGGACAGCTCTGGTTAATTTTCTTTAAACAAACATGTATGGAATGATGTTTCTTTCCAAACTTGTAAACTCATTGAAATTTGTAAAATGCTATTCAAAGAAGGAATAGCTCTCCTCTTCCTTTGCATGACTTCCTTTTCATCTTGAGCTCTCCTCTCTGAAAAGGTGAGTGTACATTGGCAATACAGTAAAAGGGTAGAATTAGAAGAGCTATGTTCAGGTTCACAGCCTGAAATGAACACTATCAATTATCATATTAGAGATAATCAACGTCAATAATAGCAATACAATATTTGCACAGCATGCAGAAAAGTCCGTCTTGAGAGGGCTCACATCTAGATCTAGATCTAGCCCAGGGTCCTTTCAGTTCCAACAGATCTTCGTCTTCACTGAAGCCTGAAATACAATCTGCAAAAAGGCAATAAGTTCATAGCATCATTTGGCAACTGTAAAGATTCTAAAAACAAAATAATAAAAGCGGGGAAAGCCCATTAATTTCATTGAAACTAGCAGAAGCAATACAAATCATAACAAAGATGGCGGCCGACTGCCCACCAATACGCTTTCATTCAAAATTTAAAGAAGATAGCTACCCATCATTGAGTCTGGGTTGTTTCCTTGCATGCATTACCATTAATGCTATAGAACAATAGCAAAATGCAATGCAAAGAAACGAGATGAGATGGGTTCCTGCAAATTTTCACAGACTTCTATGCCACTACATTCGTCTGGTTCGACGCCATTTTACATCCGGGGAACTGGTACATTTCGCATAAAATTTTATTTAGTCCAAATTTTTTTGTGTTTCACTATATCAATCATGAGGAAATTGACCAAAAATGAATATAATGTCTTTAAGAATAAAAATAAAGTAAATTACAGAAAAAGGAAAATAATATTCAGAGACATGCTAAAAATTGTTCACTCTTTTCGGTCAATTGGTGAAGCAAAAAGTTGCGCTAACACACGGAAGTCAGTGTGACGCTTTTTACGTGGTAGGCGAAATAACATTCATTAACCAGTAGTTTCAGACTTTCAAATGTCAAATATAGTAAGAAACAATAGTTTTAAAAATATCCTGCTTTCATTTCTATATTTACTTAAAAGGAACATCTATGTATAAGACTGGCACTTCTTTCTGTTGATCTCCCCGCCAAAATTTGAGTTCATCAGATTCAGGCTCACAGCCAAGCTACATTGTTTCGGGAACAGGATCATTTCCGGTAGGCTAGGCCTATGTTTTTCTACAAATCAACTTTATAGTAGGTCAAGGTCATAACACAGTTGAAAAAACCAACGAGTACGCACCTTCTAAGTATCGATCAATATAAATATTTATTTCGATATAATTAGTTCCTCTCTCTCTCTCTCTCTCTCTCTCTCTCTCTCTCTCTCTCTCTCTCCCTCTCTCACCACTTTTTACAAGCTTAGGAAAATCTACTCCTTCAATCTTTTTAGGGCTCGGGCGCGAGCTATTATTTTATCTGTTCGAATCCTTTGGACACTTCATCGATTTGCATTCCTCGAAATTCTTGCTCGTTTATTATAATTGAGAAAAAATAGAAAGAGAAAGAAAAGTAGTAAACCAAGTAAAATCACAAGAATGAACATTACACAACATAGAAAACTTGAGCAGTAAACAGCATAGCCTATATAATATGAACCGTCAGTTGTTTGACGGCCAAAAAAATTTATAATATTCATAGGCCTTTTTTCAGTTGGGTGTTTTTTTTTACAAGGGGGGTGGGGTGGGGTGGAGGGCATTTTACTTGTTTTGGGACAACCGATTCAGAGAAATGAGTGGCGAACCATGATTGCCAGTGTCTGTTTCAGATCTAGCCCCTGGATAAGAAAAGGGAGGAATTTTTGCACTTGAATGTGGACTTAGGTCTAGATCTATTATTCCTGGGCCTATAGGCATTTACTATGGAAAAAGATAGGCCCAGTACTCTTTGCTATGGAATAGGTATCTAATATCTGATTTGAAATTGACTTGTCGATGTTTGTATCGATAGATTTTTCAATGGTATCGAGTAAGCCTAAGTTTTTTGTTTGACGTCTTCCTCCTACTTCCTCTCTCTGCGCCTCTTGCCTCAATACTCAATTCACAATTCTGAACCTCAAACAGTGCAGTGCCGTCAAACACACGTTCTACTAGACTAGAATCTAGATCTAGATCTAGGGCTGAACTAAAACTTTCGAGTTTCGTGTCTGTTGAACTAGATCTAGAAATTTAGATCTAGATTCTATTGAAACTGGGTGGTATTGACAGAGATAATGATGGAGTAGATCTACTACTACACTACGACGTGATGTAACTTCGAATTTTGTCTCCACTCCACCGTTTGTATTGTTGGAAGAATGGCTCAAAGATTGAAGTTATGGTTCGCGGACCAAGTTGCACGCAATTTGAGGCTTCCTCAGAAGGGACCAGTTGGCTGGTTCACTGTGGTAAGTTAAATAATCAAAAGGGAAGAAAGTAAAATCAAAGTGTACAGACCCGGTAACCGGGGCTGGGAACAAAGTCACAAACAAAATATATATATACAAGACCCGGTAGGGGAACTCTCTTGTGATTTCGGAAAGTTTCAGCGTCCAGACCCGGTAGTGTGTGTGTATCTGTGTGTGTGAGAGAGAGAGAGCAGGGGGAAATGCTAGCAGAATGTACATGCCCACCAAGCCTAGTTGGCATGCAGGAGGGAACGAGAGAAAGATATTATATATTATATAGGCCTATAAGATAGAATGGAAAATAGGTGGGGAGAAAGAAAGACAGAGATAAACAAAGAAAAAGAGAAGGAAGTGCCTATTTGCAATGCCGCATTGCGATTAGCGCCAGTGCTAAATAAAACTAAAACGTCGCGTTGCGATTAGCGCCAGTGCTAAATAAAACGCAGTCGCCGTGTGTAAAATATCAAGCTTAAATCTGCACTTCGTTATCGGAAGTTCTGATGGCCGAAGTGACAGCGCGTCTGCGCTTGAAGTCAAACCATTATTTTTTTAGCGCGGGTTCGATCCCGGTCCTGGACGGGGTTTTTTTTGTTGTTTTTTTTTGTTGTCCTCTTCTTGACTGACCAACAAATTGTTCTCATAATTATATCTTGTTAGACTTGTTGATTTGTAGGGTTTTTTTATGTAGTGATGGAGCATGCACATTCTGGTTTTGTCCCCAAGAGGAGCTCTGTACAAAGTAGGCCTTGGCCTTAGTATAGCCTATCTATACTTTTCCTTTTTACCAATTTAGGCCTGGTTAAAGTTCCGTAGTGGCTTTCCTTGGTCTGTGAGTCTAATTTTTTAATTTTATTTTAAGCTCAGGAGAAGGAAAAAGAAAACCTTCCAGGACCGGAAGCACTGAATATTAGACTTAGAGTAGAGAACGTAGACAGTAGACAGCTTGTATACGTTCTCTAGGCCTAACTTAAAGTTCGAGTTGCACCGTCTTGTTATTGTATTGTTATCCAAGCGTCTTTCGACTTAAACTTGCTCAAACTCTAACTCAAATGATCATGATTATGAGAGATGAACAAGACGTCTACTTTTGTACAAACAATCAATGTCAGAAACAATTGTGAGATCTAATTCGATAGATCTAGATTTTTCTAGATCTAGACCTACCCATGTTGATCGGAATAAGACAACGTCATAGAAAAGGGAGTCAAGTCAAATCCTAGGAGGTTTATCAAAAGGCCGGCACTATTTCTCCGAACGTTCGGGAAAGTAAAGCTGGGCACTATTTCTCCGAACACTCTGAAATCACATCCTTTCCCGCAAATTTCGGATATTATATAGATCTATAATTATAGTATAGGCCTACCAAAGATTGTTTGTATACAATATGGTTCAATCGGTCCAAAAAATGTCCGCAGTAAATATTTGTTTATAGAAATGCTACAGTTCCAAGCAGTTTTTCGCTACATATTGTATGACGTGTTGCCTATGAAGGGTGCTGCTCCTAAACCTAATGAATGTGTTGTGTTCACTCGGGTGCTATCTAGATCTACGGAGGGTTATTGATAACGACACATAGAACTAGCATCTGCGTTTGTCGCGGCCGCGACCAATCAATTGTGGCTCGATTTTGGACATTTTTTGGTCCCCGAATCGGGGAATAAAAGTCAAATTTAAAAAAAAAAAAAAATGAAAGAAACCGAACCTCTTTACTTTTGAAAGAAAGTTCACATAGCTTCACTTGTTGTCACCACGTTGATTTGTTGAATATGTTACAGTTACTTTTATTTTTTCCCTCTTTGTGGTGTTTTATTTTGTTAGTGTGTATTTTTTTCTTTCTTGTTATTGTTCTGATGTGTTGTTTTTTTATCAGTTTTTTTTGTTGGGGTAAAAGGGAGGGAGGGGGGGGGTGCGGATGTTGTATAGTGTAACATCATTTAATTTTATGTTCCTACTTTCATTAGATTCTAAATACATATACATGTATACAGATTTAAATGTGTTATGTTAGAGCGTTCGTTCCACCAAACCCGATTAGATCTACGTGTACTGCACAGCGCCGAAAACTGGCCGAAATCGTGCCTCTTAGTTTCCCAGGCCAGCGACATCTGGAAGTCATTAAATCACCGTCGGAACCGCTCCGTGCCGGGTTACGCGGGGGTCACTGGCCGCTCCGTTGCGCATCAGCTACAGGCGGGCAGGTCATGGCGTAATCGACATGTTTGACACTAATTAGCGGCAGTATCCTCACTCTAACCACGAAATATTCCATACAAAAAGAAAAGACCAAGATTCTCTCTCTCACTCTACGAAAACCCGATCTTAATGTGGCGATATTTGCCAATGTTACAGTGTGTGCAAAATATTCTGAATTTCATCGAATTTAATCTGTGTGTGCTGCACTTTATTCACTTCTAATTTCAAAAGTGCTCGATCAATCTCAACAAATTTTGGTACATGCACTGATGACATATTTGTGCTTTATGTGTGTAATTTTCATCATCGTTTGAAGAATAGTTATTGCAATATTAAGTCGTTTACATCTGATTCTCAGCCAGTGATTGTTATTTGTCCCATGCAACTGTGTATTCTGGATTCTATACTGTTTTAAGTTCAACAGTTCTCCGTTAATTTCATAGATTGTTGTTTCTATGAAAGGCAGACATATTTGTGCTTATTGTGTATAAATTTCATTTTTGTTGATTGAGCCATGTTACGATATTAGGTAGAATCCATTTGCCCGTGATTCATGTATAGCAGTTTTACTGAAATCTCCAAATGGAACACACACACACAAGATACATTCCTCCTCTCTGAATGAACTTTGTCGCATTTGCGGGTGTAAGAACGTGACTAAAGTACAACAGAGGCAAAAAAGAAAGGCTAGGACATGTGACTCACTGCAAACTGATATTTTATTAATTTATGAAATTGACATTAGAGAAGACACAGATGACAAATATTCGAAGTTTATTTGCCACAAATGCCACATGAGGATATATGATACTAAGAAGAATACCACTCCATCCACCCTTAAAAAAGCGCGAGATCTGGTCAGAAACAGTCAACACATATGGTGTACATTCGAGAATCAAACTACGATAAAAGATTGCAGTGTTTGCCGTCATCGTGTCAATTTGTCAGATGGCTGCCTGAAACCAGCAAAGGTGCCCGCCGCAACAGTTGCTGGTGACTCTCCCAGCACCAGCCCTAGCCTCCACTCACAACACAGCCCTGTCACACCCAGTCAAACAACCTCCACATATGATGACCCAACAACCAGACCCTCTAGTTCAAACACACCACATTCTTCCCACATAAACACTGTTTTTCCCTCACAAACACAAAGTGCAGAACAGAATGAAATTACATGTATTTCAATCCCTCTTGCAACATCAACACCACTAAGACCTTCAAAACCAGAGTTGAAAGACATTGGCACTTCTCCAATGTGCCTACAAACAGATAAGGTTCACCAAGACAGCACAACATCCCCACTTTTCAAAACTTTAGATAAGTCAGACACGTTAGCTCACTCACTCAGCCAACCTCTAGATGCACCTCTCAGTAAGAGGGAGGATGATGTCAGCACACATTTGTTTAAAAGAAAACTTTTCACTACTAAAAATCCACAAAATGTAGTCACATTCAAAACAGGGGGACAGCCAATTGCTGTAAAAAGATTAATTATTCCAAGAAAAGATTCTTCTGAAGCAGCTAGTCCCACAAAGAGAAGACGGTCGCGATTGCTAGAAGGTACGAGAGCAAATGTTGCTGGACCATCGATGTCAGCTGAAGACATTCAGTTTGCCTCTGAATTGAAGAAAATGCCAGGAAAAAGGAGGCAAGGGGTTTTCAACAAAGCTGGGGCTCAGAGTAGGATTAGATTAACCCCTCAACAAACTTTGATTATGAAAGAGACAGCGGGATTTAGCGGTAGGCAGGGTAGGTATTATGGGAAAGCTTTAAAGCAAGTAGGGGTACACTTGGCTAATGAACATTCCGTTAGGAAATTATCAAAAGAAGTTGTGTCAGACTCTGTAGAAGTTGAGCACAGAATGTTTCTTGACAACCAGGGAAAAGAACAGGGTGTCCCGTACGACCGCATTAAGAATTTATCCTCATTTGTTGATAGCCTGTTAGATGAGTATGTTGAGAATGACCTCCTTGTGTGGCCTGACACAATACCACAAGAGGAAGTGTGGATCAAAATTGGGGGGGGACCATGGCAAAAACTCGTTCAAAATGACACTTCAGACAGTCAATACATACAAACCCAATGCTAAACAAAACACAATCGTCATTGCTACAGCCGCAGTAAAAGACACACATGAAAACATAGTTAGGTTTTTAGCTGGGGGTTTAGGAGATGACATCGCATCATTACCGGCACATACATGGAGGGGGAAAAGGCTGAAAATCTTTGTCAATGGAGATTATGATTTCATGTGCAAAATGTATGGTCTGTCGGGTCCACAAGGAACGCACCCATGCCTGTGGTGCTTGATACCTAAAGCCAAACACTATGTTTTTCCTGAAACTTATCAGCAAAGAGATCTGCACATGTTACACACAGACCATGCTGCGTTCATGGCACAACATGGTGGGGACAAAAAGGGAGCAGCTCAACATCACAACTGTTTCATTAATGAAAGATACTGTGATGTGAATTTAATCACAAGCCCGACGAATTTGACTTTTGAACGAAATAGCAAAAATATGGATTATTGATCTTCCAACGATGATGTCCTTTGGTGAGTAGATACCCACATTATTTGTCTTTATTCTGAGCCAGTTTTAGTGAATTTATTCGAGCCCTTTGGTTGTTACATAACTTTTAATTCGGTGTATATTACATTAATTACCACATATAAGACGGCTGTATTTGATCGCATGCAGTTACAAAACTATACAAGATATCTTTGTTGCGTTTTCACAAACTGTACATTGAAAGAAGAAGCTCAAAGATGGAACACTGTGTATATATTGATAACCCTGCTTTC